AAACCAAGTTGCAGATTCTTTTTTTTTTTTTTTTTTGCGCATCAGCTGTAGAGAGATTGACTCTTCGGTGCCATTAGAGATTCGACAAAGAAAATACATTGTTTTTTGGCCTTCTTCATCGACTGAAGCTGTTCGTTCAAAGGCTACATATCACATCTGATATCTGAGCCGAATGAACCCTAAATAAATTTAGGGCTTTTGCTGTTTGCTATCTCTACAAGATTCATTTAGTCGGATAAGGTTGATTCGAGCAGTAAATCATACCCAAGCGTTTCAAATCAGTTTCCATATTGCTTTGATTCAAGGATTGCTATCTACGAATCGCCACAAGGCTCAAATCGGGTATTACAAACCCATTTTTTTTTTTTAATTTTTGATTCCTTTTTTGAACGATCTTCCGCGGTCGTCATTAATTATTTTTCATTTTTTGGGGCCCTATATCATTTCGGCCAAGGTTGTGAGCTATTGATTCGTTATATATATATATATTATCAAAGATTACTCTGCTAAATCAATGGAATTGATCGCACACAGCTAAGTTTCCCCCCTCGCATATTTCTATTACGTTTACTCACAAAAATTGCCAGCTACATATGCATGAGCAGCTCAGAATTATTAGCTTCAATTAAATTTTGGTATGATTGAAATTAACCAGTTTTTTAGGCCTAATCAGTGGACTGCCTTGTGTTTTTGCATTTGTTGTTAACAGGAAGCTAGTTCTTTAAATGCTTAAGGCTTTAAAGTTGTTTAGATCCAATATACTAGGATTTGTTTCCCTGTATCTTCAAGCCTTAATTTGAGGAACCAAAAGATGATTTATTTGCTCCATAGCATTTGAAGATAGCAACCTACCTTTCCTTTTATTTAATAGTCCTAAATTTATGTGTTTTAGTTGGGACTGTGTTTAGGCATTATGCAATTTAATAAGTCATCTTGTAGCAAAACTTACACAAATTCTTAAGTTTTTTGTAACCACTTTCAAGTGGACTTAGTAGTATTTAATTAAAAATAAATCACTTTATATCGGTGGGTGCATCATACTATTGCTAATGCTTTAAACTTGAAAATTGTTGGACGCATATTTGTTGAAACACAAAATTTTGGATTTGCATCACTTTTATTGAATAATTGGACTAGTAGATTGAATGTTTGTTCTATCCAGAGTATTTAAATGTTCTTTTGATCACCACAAGTTCCTCATTATATTCTTATTTTTTAGTGATCAAAATAGTTTAAAATAAACTATTTTTTGAAAAGTTTCTTTTAGTGTTACACCTATTTGAAAGATTTGATTCTTGGAAGGGTAATGACTAGTCCACTCGTACTATTTATTTTTCCCATTTAGTCTCATTAAAAAAGGGGGGGGGGGGGAGGGAAGGAGCATTAAACCTTGGACTTTTTTTTTTGTAAAATTTTTGTGGAGTGCCATATAAAAGAGGCCCAACGTGTTTTCATCTCTTCCATTGCTGTTTGAAATGAATAATTTCTTATTTGATTGCTTATCTATGATAATGTGTATAGTCCACTTCCTCAGATTTATTTTTGAGAGCTGTGATGTGATGATGTGGTAATCCTTAAATTATTAAATTGCTGAATAGTCATGTGTCTTTGTGAACACTTCTTTTATTACTACATGACATTATGAACATTTGTTTAGTGATATTCAATTATGCTAAACTGCAACACAGTCCCCTGAATTGTTCAAACATATCCACTGTTTAGTCTTTTTTTTTCTTTTTTTCTGAAATCACTCTTCGGTTCCTAGATCATATGGACACCTTTTTTCTTACTCCCTAGAATTGCAAAATCAGGAGAAAAAGTAAAGCTCCTAAAGCTTAAAACACAAAGCAAAACTAAAAGGGAATTTACTACCCATGTTAGTTTAGGATGGACAAGGATAGTGGGAGTAAACATTTTTTGTCTATTAATAAAGTAGATGCTCATTGTATTTGTGGTATAGATGAGAATGCCTATTTGAGATTCTTGCATATAAAGATAAAATAGAAAGGAGTTCCAATAATCGAATGCCCAAAATGGGAATGCATTAATCTTGTGAACCATCTCTTAGTAAAAATTAATTAAACTCCTTTTTAAGAAAAGAAAGATATCAAAAGAATCATTAGCTATTATCCTTTCAGGTGAGTGTGGCCATTTGAATGAGAAAACTCATGGGGAAAGGGTACATACTATGGTGTTTATCAATGGTTATTCTAGAATTGGATATGTGTACTTGGTTAAAGAAAAATCTGATTAGAGAAAATACAAAATAAAATGCCAAGGAGAAAAACAAAATCTCTTGAAGAGAAATAGTGGAGAATATATCTCCAGCCTGTTTAATTTTTTTTCTCCAACAAAGAAGCAAGTTAGATAACAATAGAATTGAGTGTACCTTTATATACTAATCATATAGTGAAATCAACAAAGGTTACACATTTTGATCAGACTATTGTATTAATGGAGGGTAAAGGATGTTGTATCTCTAGAAAATAAAATTCAGGGAGGATGGACTTTTTTTTGGATGTCCTAGTCATGGTCATTCTTGTACAAACTCTCAAGAAGGAATGATTTGAAGGAAAATATTCCCCTCATAAGGATTATTGGACTATTACATTTAAATAAATAATCCCTTATATGTTGATTTTCTTGATTTTTAATGATTCCATTGTCTTGAAGATGCTATGGAAGCACATGATATGGTGTGAAGCCATAAATAAAAATCAAGTTTGAGAATTAATTGTTTTACTGAAAACAAAAATCTACAGGGAGTAAACAAATATTGAGGGATCCATAGGAAATTATAAAGTAAGTTTTGAATTGTAGATATACTCAAATAGAAGCATTAATTTGCGAGGAGATTTACCTCAACTGTTACTAAGCTTACTTTGTTATGTTATTGGTTGTATCTTTTCATTCTCAGTTTTTTCTTTTCCTATATGAGAACTGTATTTCTTCATGAAGAGACATATGTGACTCATCTTAATGATTATGCAACATATGGCTTTATTCTTAATTCCTTTTATCCTTGTGTTTGTTCTTTTGAATAGTGGGAGTATGTTTATTATTCTTCCCTCATGTGTAGAGCACTTCCTAATTGCTAGTAGTGATGACTTCATAATCAATGAAATGAATAATTCGATGAAAACCAATTTGAAAATGATAGATGCTTAAAAATGGATAAGAATGCCAGAATTTTAGCTCTTTCACAAGAGCATTACTCCTGAAATATTCTGAGATAGTTTATGTCAAAGAATGCTATGGGGTTATTAGATTAAGATATGGCTCCCGTTAATGAAGAAATACTAAAGATGAAAAGCAGATCTTGTGCTTAAATCTATAGTTGGCTTGATGCGTGCAATGTATTATATAGGACCTAATATGTAATGTGTTGTTGGTCTTGTAAGTAAATACCTAAGGAACCCTTTAGAGAACCATTAAAAGAATGCTTGGATATTTAAAGTTGGTAAAACACTCCAAACACATATGACTTGGAGATGTTGGATTAGTGTGATGCTAATTTTTGCAGGTGATCCAAATGATAGCAAATTCACTATTGGGTGCTGATTCCTCTTAAGAGGATCAATTGTCTCATTGATGAGCAAGAAAGCAAAGCTATGCACCTAAATTTGTCATGCATATTGAGTTCATTACTTGCAGATTTGTGGGTTCAAAAGCAGTGAAAGTTCTTGATGTACTGATGAAAACTATGAAGATACTCAGTTATGCTACCATGGCATGCCTTGAAGTGAAACATGTTGATATCCAGTACCGTTACTTATATGATGTCTACCAACGGAATAGATCTTGGTAGAATACGTGCCTACAAAAGAAATGATTGCCGACCCATTGACTAAACCCATTGCAATTGCAGATTGTGTAAGGCATGCCAAAGCAATGGGATTGGTTGGCACTTATTCATCTCGGGCCTAACTGGCCAAGTGAGAGATGATGGTAGAGTGGCCATAGGCCCTCGTTTGATCCTCAACATGTTGGAATATCCAATGGCCATGTGACAAGCCACATGTTGATGGAAGATGATTATTTCATGGTTATCTCTATGCAACACCTTCACATACAATCATTCACCTTTTTAATATTATTATCTATTTATTTATTTTCTATACAAGAAAATTTATTTGATTGTTTATTGGAAAATGTTTTATGCATAGAGATACAATATTATTGGATTTTTCTGGGTCCTAGTTCCAGCTCTTACTGGGTCAGTGGATATCCATTTGGCCCAGTCTAGACTGGATGACCAAGTTGTTAGATCCTTGGTTAATATGAGACACTTGCCTCAAATCTGATGGGGCATGAGTTATACTGTTGAGATGACTTATCTCAATTGGTCACTTAGTTGTTGTTTGTTCCTAATAATAGGGAACTTAACGTTGGAGATAGAAAGCTATATAAGGGGTCACTCCCAATTGCTTATTGCATGTGTGAAAAGCACATTACAGAGAAAGGAAAAGATCCTCTCTGATCCTGCTTCATTCAGATTAAGAAGTGCTGGGTTGTGATTTGCTGCTACGGGCCAGTGTCTCTCGGATTCATATTGTGTGGTAGCTAGACCTGTTCATGGGCCGGGTGGCCCGCCGGGCCAGGCCGGGCCGGGCCGGCCCCCGGACGGGCTTGAACAGGCTTTTTGTACCGCGGGCTTAACCTCGGGCCAAAAAGCCCGACCTGCATAAAATTCGAGCCGGGCTCGGGCTTTGCCAAAATAGCTCGGTTCGAGCCCGATCCGGCCCGACCTATAGTTAAACCTAAGTAAAAACCCTATGTGATGTCCATTTGAATAAATTTTTTGATTTAAGAAGGTTGTTGATTCACTTGTAGGCCCATTGCTTATTTAAATAGGGGAAAAAACATCTGAATTAAAATAGATAATGTCCATTTGAATAGGGAAAAATTCGAATTTCTTTTATTAGGTCGGGCTTCAGGCTCGGGCTCGGGCTTCGGGCTTTTTATCAGGGCCGGGCCCGGGCCCAAGTTGTAGGCCCGTTGGTTGGGCCGGGCTCGGGCTCGGGCCTAACATTTTTCTGTTAATAAAGAGTAAAAGCCCGGCCCGAGCCCGACCCGGCTCGGCCCATGAACTGGTCTAGTGGCAGCTGCTCTTTTCTCCTTTTGTGCAGGTTTGGAGCGCCCAAGTAGCAGCTGCTCATCTTTGCATCTTTATGGTTCGTCACAAAAAAACTTACAAATGGGTATACAAGAGAAGAAGGAAGAGAGGCAATTTGTCTCCTGGAGCTGAGTCTAAAGGAACAACAATGGAGGAGCAACCACTAGATGCTCTTTCGGGGAAGGATGTTCAAGCCATCAAGGAAGGGCGGTGAGGGCTCTGTTTTTGGTACAAGCACCAAGGTGCAAAGTGATGAGTTTAAGGATGGTGACTCTTCAAAAGTTGGTAGTTGGAGAGGCCACCATTGGAAAAAGTTTGGGCCTCTATTTTTGGGGTGGTGAAGAGTTCGCTATGAGGGCCTTTGAGGAATTTGAAAGGAAAAAAAAGGGGAAGAGAAGTTAAAGAGAAAATCTCTGTTGAAAGGAGGCAAAGCTTGGGACGAGGAAGTTTCAGATTAGGAGGATGAGATCGTGGATGAAGATTGAGCATCTCTACAAGGTGCTTCATGGTTTTTAGCTTGAGTCCAGTTTAGTATGAGTTGTTGGCATGTAAATTGTGCGTTTGTTCTTTAGTCTCAGTTTGGAAAGAGTACAAATACAAATATGTACACTACAAATATATACAAAATAGTACAAAATATAAGGTTTTGCACTCTACATAATTGTATTTGTACTCCTTCCAAACTGAGCTTTAGGTGTTGTTTAAGGGGTCTTGTAGTTTGTTTGTTGGGTCATTTAGTTGTTCTCTCCTTTCGGATGAAATCATATCATCTTCCTGCTGTAATTCTTTTTCCTTTTAATAAAATTTTCCTTTTATTCTTCAGAAAAAAAGTTGTTTTCTGCTTGCTTTATGTGTTATGTCGAATAAAGTAGTTACCATGCTAGTCTATTTTTGTTTACCATGGCAAGTCTAGTGTTAGTCTATGTAATCTTTGGTTCTGTTTTCACCATCAGTACCATAAGAACTCAATGGGATTGTGATGATTGGTAATGAATACTGAAAAAATGTTATTGGTAAATCTGTATTACATTTTTTTGATGAATAGTAATCCTGTATTACATTAAAATAAGGAGATAATTTATAGAAGGAACTTTGGTATTGTGTTATTTTTTAGTGTTTTTTTGGGTGAGAGAATTTAAAGACCCAAGGAATAATCCCAGGTCTTCTAAATTTTGTATTCATAGTGTTGATACTCTGAATGGATACGATATGATTCTGATATGCAAGCGTTATTTTCCTTTTGCACAGGATCTGCATTTGCAAGGGTAGGCTGAATTTTCCAGGAAAATTAGTTCTCTATATTGGCATCCTTACAAAGGTGAGAACATCTAATAATGAAATGCTTGGAAGGGATTCTTATTGAAATTAACCATGGTGCCTTAACTTTTAAGTCAACAGAATGATGCATTTATATGGATGTGCATCAGAAAATAGGTTTACTCTTACATTTGGCATCTTTCATGTGGGCTACCCATTTGTTCTAATGTGATTGACTAATAGTAAAACAACAAAATTTGCAGGATACATGAAAGACCATTGTAACAAAGAAGTCTTTTAAGACTCAGACCGGACATAAAATTGGAATGCTTACCAGGTCATGGGTCAAACGGCAAGGTGTTGCTTTTTGATATAAATGATCAGGGGTCAAGTCTTATTATTTTCATTTTATCCAGAAGATACACAAATAAGCACAACACACATGATAGGTTAATGCTGCGTGCTAACACTTTTTACCAAAATATCTCGGGTTCAAATGCTAACATTGTAGTACCAGTGTGACCATTGTATTTGATAATACTTGAATGCATACTTCTTTTCACAGACTACTACTACAGCATCGGGCCGCTGTTAGTCTCTCCTCTGTTGCAGGACTAATTTCAGAAGGAATTGCACATCAGTTGTTTGGTTCATCATCCAAGAGAAATCCTGGGCACTTAACCAACTTTATAGTTAGCAACAACTATGGTAAGCTTGGCCATCACCTGGAAGCACACAATTCTATCATTGCTGAACTTGCTAATAGTGGTCAATACCGAGAAGCTTTGAGATCATTTGGTTGCATGAATGGACTTGGGCAAAAACCTACAAAGTTCACTTTATGCATTGTTCTCAATTCTTGTGCCAAGTTATTGGATTGGCATCTAGGTTTGCAAGTTCATGCTCAACTGATTCGACTGGGGCATGAAGAAAATCATTATCTAAATAGTGCACTTGTTGATTTATATGCCAAGTGTGAGGCAATGCTTGATGCAAAGAAGGTTTTCGACAGTGTCAAAGAGAAGGATGAAGTACTGTGGACCTCGGTAATATCGGGATATTCACAAAATGGTAATGGAAAAGAAGCTTGTATGTTATTTAATGAGATGTTGGTAACCAATATTAGACCGAACTGCTTCACTTTTGCCAGTGTAATAAGTGCATGTACAGGGCTACCAACAGCATCTGAGCTAGTTAAAATTCTTCATGCATATGTTATCAAACTCGGGATTGGGCATAACAGTTTTGTGGCCAGTTCACTTATTGATTGCTACTCAAAGTGTGGGAAGATTGGCCAAGCTGTATCCCTATTTAATTCAACTAAGGAGAGAGACAGCATTCTATTTAGCTCCATGATTGCTGGATATTCTCAGAACTTATTAGGTGAAGAAGCCTTGAAACTTTTTGTGAAAATGCGTGGTAGTGGATTGGACGTTACCTACCACACCTTTTCTAGCATTTTGAATGCTTGCGGGAGTCTCACAATAATTCAACAAGGAAGACAGATCCATGCTCTGATAACTAAGATGGGTTCAGAAGGAAATGTGTTTATTGCTAGCTCGTTGATAGATATGTATTCCAAGTGTGGGAGCATTGATGAAGCTCGTTGTATCTTTGATCAAACCGTTAAGAGGAATAACATCTTGTGGACTTCAATGATCACAGGGTATGCTCAAAGTGGAAGAGGGGCAGAAGGATTAGAACTATTTGAGCTCTTGGTGAATGGAGAAGGTGCAAGACCTGACCTTATTTGCTTTACTGCTGTACTGACTGCTTGCAATCATGCAGGGCTTCTTGATAGAGCAATATACTACTTCAACAAAATGAAAGATTATGGTCTGTCTCCTGAACTAGACCAATATGCCTGCTTGATTGACCTTTATGGGAGAAATGGACATCTAAGAAAGGTGAAAAAGCTGATGGAAGACATGCCTTTTGAACCAAATGCTGTAATGTGGAGTTCCTTCTTGGGTTCCTGTAGAGTTTTTGGTGAAGTAGAACTTGGGAAGGAGGCTGCAAATCAGCTGTTCATGATGGACCCATATACTGCAGCACCGTATGTAACACTTTCAAATATTTATGCAGAAGCTGGAATGTCGGGTGAAGTGGCTGAGATTAGAAAAATGATGAAAGAAAGGGGAGTAAGAAAGAATCCTGGATGGAGTTGGGTTGAGGTAGATGGAAGAGTACATGTGTTCTCAGTGGGTGATACATCTCACCCTCGTTCACAAGAAATCTATGTGGAATTAGATAAGCTGACTTTGGAAATGAGGGAAGCTGGGTATATGCCCATACTCAGATATCTGCGGATGCTAGATGGACAAAGCATTTGATGTTTGTCTGACTCTGGGTATAAAACATACTTGAGAGTTTTTCTTTCTTCTAAGTTTCTAAAATCAGTTTGTTCAAAACCTGGACCCAGATTACTCAATTTTCAATAACACATGTCAAAGTTTAAAGGGTAAATTACAGATAGCCACCCTATACCTAGGGGGGGGGGGGGGTGACAACACTTAGTTTTAGAAACTTTGTTTTTGCAACAATGACCCCCTGAACTTTTTAGGTTCCAGCACTTTGTCCTTTGATTTGCCTACGGACTTGACAATGAAGAAATTTTGCTAAATTGCCCATTCAAGATTCTTTGGGCCAACTGCAACAAAAATCAAAATGATGAAAATAACCATTGTAAAAGCACAAATAGTTATCAAGGTGTTGATGAAACCGATCATTCTCAAGGCACTTTCAAGATGAATGTTTGCTGACAGAAAGTTGAGAGAGACATGTCAAATGGTCTCATAAAATAACATAAAGGGCAATTTGAGGTTTTAGAAATATCTAAAGGAAATATTCTATTAAGTTAGCTAAGAGAACTGAGGACAGGGCAAAGTGTTGGAATCTGGAAGTTCAGGGGCGATTTTTTGTTGCAAAACAAAGTTATGGGTGTTATTTGAGTTCAAATCAGCCCCCACAATGTCTTACAGTACATCTCCGCCGTGTATTGGGAACATCTCCCAATGATAATATAAAAAATGATGATGTCATCATCGGGAGATGATCTCAATATATGGCGGGGATGTGCAGTGGGACAATCTTGTAGGAGGCTGATTTGATCTCGTGTTATTTACCCAAATTTAAGCAATGGGTGAAGAAATTTTCTAGGTTGGTAGGTCGTGATATCATTTTAATTTCCAAACAATTCCGATTTGTCCATGTTCTTTGATATTATTGGCATGTGAGTACTGTATCTATCGTATCACCAAGGCAGAGATTCACCTCCTTCAAATTGCTTTTTACATACTCAAAATATATACTTGTTTAAAAGGGGGCTATCTTTCTCCACCATGCAAGGCCATTGCAAAGGACAGATTCCAAGATATTGGGTTGTTTAGTCGGTGCTCTGCCCACTAGAAGAAGTATTAACTAATATTTTGCTCGCATGCTCTCTTCATATCTTAATTGAAGGTGACAGGTTGGGAAGAAGCATCCTTCCTACCATGTTCCTGGAGATCGCTCTCTTGCTCTAAATAATTTTTGGCTTGTGATAGATCTTAGGTGTGAATCATAGAATGAGAAATTTATTCTCTCTCTCTCACAAACACACACAACTTTCGTGCGCAATCTAATAGATTTTGTGCCCTGTCCATGAGTTGGTCACTTGAACCTGGGAATTTTGCCTTTTCTTCCTCTACCAGTTACCGGATGTAACGGATTGATGGCACTAACAAAGAATCTTAATGGGCCCACAGACCGACAACATGGGATCTAGTGCCTTACTCTGAAGAGTCCTGATAAAAAATTAAATGGGCCAAAAAATGCAAAAAAAAAAAAAGAAATCTTGAATATGTAGATAATAGATATGTTGTTTAACCGATTTTTTTTAACCTCAGACTTTACTGCAGGTGGTGGGACGGTCTCGTTGAAATTTGATTAACATTAGCAAAAGAGAGAAAAATGAGTACAGGGGGAGAACATGTAGTCTTCAACCTTCATGCATGAATCTCTTCATACACAAAGATTAGAATCAGCATCCAAGAAGTCAACTTTTTATTTTTTTTTTAGTTAATACCCCTATTAGCCAATCAATCAGCACGACGATTATCCTTCATCAGAGTATTGATGAAAATAGTGTTCATATTTGTAAGGATCCTTTTCATTTCCCTCAAAGGGGGTGTTCTTTTTTTTTGCATTTTGAGAAGAGGGAAAGTTGGTCAATGGGATTTTGATTCCCATTGACAAAAAATCCCATGTTCTTTTTTCAGATTAATAAGGGATTAGGGAAAGTTTATTTTCCTGAGTATCACTTACTCAAATAAGCAATACCTATCTCTTAGGTGGGCAAATAACTTTCCCACCTGCAGGGGCAGAGCCAGGGGAGCCATGGCCCCTTTATGGTTTATAAAATCTTTACAATAATACAGTTTTTTATGTAAAATTTTCCTTCCCCTCACTCTCCACCTCAATGGTTGGCCACCCCTATGGGTCCATACATACTTCATTTAGGTTTTGACCCCCTTATAAAAATTTTCTGGCTCCGCCCCTGCCCACCTGGGAGGAAAGTTTCCAAAACTTGAATGGGACAAAAATGCCCTCCTTTAATAATGGATAGTCATTTCCTCTTTTTTACTTGAAAAATAAAAAAACATGGATGAATATACTTAATTGGATAAATGTTTCCAAAAAAAAAAACTTACCCAAATAATTGTATTTACCCGAATAAAAAACTTACCGAAAAATAAACGGTGCCAAAATGTAATAGACCGACCAAAGGCGACAACTCTTGTCATTCAAAATATTTACTAGATTTTCGTTATTACTTTATACTTAAGCACAAATTCAGACTGGGTAGATGTAGCAAGGAGCCCAGGTTACCCGGCTAACACCATCTACATTTAATTTAGACTGGGACTGAATTGAAAATTTCCAATAAATCCATCTATCTCGCCTCCTCATAACAGTTCTGATTGGAAGTTGAGAGTATAAAGAATATGACAGCTTATATTAGCATTCTTGAAAATCTGTTTACACTGCTTCTAATCCGATTGCATAAAAAGGGGAGCCATTTCCATCAAAGATCCAATTGTATCTTTCTATCTACATGGTCCAAAGGCTAATTGATGGAGTAGTGCAAATTAAATGCTCCATCTATGAATCAATGTTGCAAAGACTTCAACCTTTTCAGTTTTCACACGGTCAAAGATATGGAGGGTGTAAAGCGATGCAAAACCTCTGAAAGAAGTCGTGATACTCTGGTCTAGGGCTGTCAACAGAGCCCAAGGCCTAAAGCATGACATCTGGTCCACTTAGTTTTAATCTGTACGATCATTTTTTTTTAATTTTTAAAAGCTGGTTGGATTTGGATTTTAAAAATTGCATTTGTTTAATAATTAGATTAGATATGGATCTAACCCATATTCAATCTGGCAAAGATGTGATTCCAATTAATTATATACGTGCTTAATTACATATATTTGTATAAATTTACTCCCAGTAGCACGTAAGAGATAATATTAAGGATTACATAATCCCTAATATTTCAATCCTCAGAAGTAGAAAAAGTCAGGCATCAACTAAGTGCTTGGTTCCATTAATTATAAAACAGTAATAGCTATTAGTAACTGTATTACATTTGGCAAGAAATTATTTATATAGAACTAACTAAATAATAACTAACACATGGAAAATGTGAGATTATAGATAGCGAGAGAGAAGCTATTTCCATTTGAATAGTCTGAATAGGGGAGTATTAGGGACCCTTCATGTCATGGTTTTCAAAACAGGACCGGATCCGATGGTTGGATCGGAAAAATTGGGAATTGATTTCGTTTTTTTTTTCAAGACTAGATTTTTATAAAAAACGTTGATTTGGTCAACAAACCATTAATCCGGGTGGTTGAACTGTTAGAACCGTTCAGTTGTTGACTTTTTTTTTAATTAATTTATTTATTTTATCAGAACAGGCCGACCATTCGATTATCGTTGGACTGTTTGATCCAAGAACTGGTCCCTTGACCGATTCATTCTCCGGATCAGTTTTAAAAACCATACTTCATGTGACCCAAGACTGTTTTGCTGAACACCCCCATAGTTTTTCGTATTCACTTGACAAGAGATCCTTCATGTCAAGACTTTGTTTTAACAACAACAACAACAATAGGGTTTCCTGCCTCTAAATTAAAATGACCTTGTTTTCTTTTTTATGGTTGTTGGTGTTGTTTCTAACCTCTCCATGAAAAAAAAGATTTATGTGTTCCGAATGAAGCTTATGGTGCTATCACACGAGGGGAATTTGGTCTCTATTAAACTTGTGTCAACACTCACTCCAGGCACCTTACTTATTTGCTCTACACTTGGACTTCTCATGGTCATAGATAAATTCACAAGACCAATTCTAGGTTCATCTCTTAGCCACCAGGTAACATATCTCAAATAACGTATTCCACAAACATCCAGGAGGTTCGCTTATATGTATTTGTATCAAATCCCTTACATCGACCAAATCTCAATTAATACTTCATTTTATAACAAACCTTTTGGCTACTTTTATTTTTCTTTCTAGATATTCTGCTAGGGCAATCTGAAAAGCATGAACTTCCGGCAAAACATGCTCATATTTTCACTTGGCTAAACCTAAACTCCGCTCTCCATCCACCCCAGAAAGAAACCAACAAATAAAATGGGAAGAAATAACCATTAAGCATTACATATATGAATTCAGATATACGCCCCATGAGCGCTCCACAGTATATCCTTACCGTGTATTGGGAACATTTATCGCAATTTTGGGAGATGTGCCTGATGCACACCGAGATGTGTATGTGGGGCATGTATGCTCTGTGGGGTGCAAATGTGAAGTTTATATATCGTATATGAAAATATTAGGTTTTTATCTGAGGTGAGAGAAGTATAAATATGGTATTTTTATTTGGGAGAATGACTGTTCAACCTACCTCAAAATTCCTAACCCTACCATATAAATGAGATGAATCCTGATCATGAATTGATGTCAAATCTACGAACAGAATGCGATTTATAAGAAGGGGGGGAGGGGGCTGGGGGCTTTTTTTTTTTAATCCCAGCGAGTAAACATCATGCATGCAAGGTGGTGATGTGATTAATTGGAAAGGAAAGTCAACCTGCTGACTCTTTGCTAAGCTATATGCATGAGAGGACAACCAATCAAGTAGCACTTTTAATCCTTCTTACCAATTGCCTATGGAGTTTAGAGGTCTGTGCATGAGTGCAAATTGATTTTGGCTATGTTTTCTGTCCCTGCGACCATAATAACTGTAGAAAGATCGAAGTTGTTTATTCATAGTTTGAAAGCTCAAGGCTGTATTTGTATTGATAGAAAATAGAAGAAACAGAAAGTCGAGGGAAAGTTCTCTTATAATATTTTGTTAATAATTTTCCCTGAACTTTTTATTTATTTTTATTTTTTTATCAAAGGAAACATAGCCTAAGAAAGAATAAAATATTTGTCTTTAGAATTCTATCCTAAGAAGAAGAAGTTTCTATTTTCCATTAGGCTATGCTTGGTTTGAGGGAAAAAAGTAGGGAAACCTTTTCCTTCCTTTCTTTACTTTTTCCCTCAAACCAAACACAACCAAAGTTTATTAAACTTGTTAATTTGGGTGAAAACTTGCTTTGAGGTTCCCCTGAGTTCAAACTAGCTTCTAGTCATCAGTTTGAGATTGAGAGTTGGATGGTTTATATAAATAATATCACATCATTGGTTTATGTGATTAAAAAATCTCATACAACGAATACGCATCTTTTACAAAGTAAATGCCCAATATTGGATCACATATCATGCCTTTATAATTTGTATTTACAGGATATATGTTTTTTTAAACTATTTAATTATAAACTTTACTCCTGACCAAGGGGATGGCAATCATATTATTTTATTATTCTTGAAAAAGGAAACTTATATATATATATATATTATATTATTATTAGGGATAGGAAGATGTAATTAATAGTCTCACCTCCCTAAGAAGCTATATACATGGATATACATGGACATCATCACTTCATATATTATATATTACGAAAACAAACCCATACGATGATGATCTTGACCCATTAAACAATAACATGTATTACTGTTCTACCAAACGCACAAATATACCGCATTCCAATGAGGTAACCACGTAAACTGATATCAGCTTCATCATCTTATCCCCCAAATTCCTATAATCTAATCACGGATCAGTAGTAAGAGATCAAATCAGCCCCCCATAAGATTATTCCTCATAACATTTTACAGTACATTTCCGTCATGTATTAGAAACATTTCCCGATAATAACATCATTAATTTTGATATTATTATTAAGAAACATTCTCAGTACACATCAGAAATGTGTTGTGGGGAGCCGATTTAAACTCTAGTAGTAAACCCCAATGTTGGATATATTTATTAGCCATAGGTAAGATATGGCAATAGTTGATTCAATGCTCTGATTAACTATTGGTGATCCATCTTCCCCAATATGTATTGATATGCAAATTATGTGAATCAAGACCCAAACTCTTGGTTTTAATGCAAATTGAAGGGTAGCTCAGTTGGTATGGTAGATGACTTGTCCCAATATGTATTGAAAGAAAACAGTAATGCAAGTACCAAAGTGATTAATGATGTGATGTTGTACTGTTCAAGCGTCCATTATATTTAAAAAAGAAAAAAAAACTCTTGATTTTATTTACTTGTTAGGGTTCATGATTTGAGGGCTTTTGTCTGATCAGCCCATATATATGTATGTTGCTATATATATATATATATATATATATATATATACATGAAACATTAAGAGAATAATTGAGAAATAGATCAAATTAATACAAAGCCAAATATATGAAACAAAAGTAGGATTCTATCCAAATATAATATTAGCTTCTCAATATCATTATGTATAAATATATGTTGCATTAATTGTGAGATGAACTATAGCAAAGTTGACAAGTTTAAGCTATGGACAACAATGAATAATAACAATATATACATGAATGGTTGTGTAACCATCCACGTTATTCATGTGATATATAGCATATAAAATAATCGTTGTATTTGTCAGAAAAACACGCATGGGATTATTGATTTGTTGAGTTTTCCTTCTTTACCACTTTCTCTGCTATTTGGTTAATATGTTAACTGCTTTTCTTTCTTGCCAAGTGCCAACCAAACTTAAGCATGGATATTAATTTCTGTTTTAATCCAAAGGGGGAAAAAGAAACACCTGTGGTGTGTGGATCGATGCTTCCTTCCAGTTGGACCACATCAATGATCCCACATGAATGGAGCTTTTTCTTTTAAGTCGTTAAACACGAGATATGGCTTCATTAATTTCACTTTTAGGGTTGTCTGTTAAAAAAAAAAAAGACTTGCTTAATAGTTGACAGATTACGACTTTACGAGGGGATACAAATACAAACCAGGATTTTGCTTTTGTGGGAACGCTACCTCCACCAATAGAAATCTGAGATTTTGGTTGAGACGAGAGAGAGAGAGACTTCAGTTCAGCCTTCATTGGAACAGTGACGAAGACGGTCAGACTGGAATGAGAAATGATACTAATTCACACGTGCGAAAGATGTAAAAAATATGAAGGTCGACTCGACGGTGGATAACAGTGCCACATTGGACGTTGGAGTAGCACCACTACAAAAGGAGGTCTTTGGTTTGGTTCGTGATTTAGAAGAAATTAGGGACGCTCCGGTCTTCATCCAAGCCTCCAAAGGTGAGGTGAGTGAGCTTAATTTCTTCTCTGTTTATCCCCTGCGACGTATACGTCTTTAGTTGTTCGGCTTCTTCTTTTTCTTTTATGGCTTCTCTCTTGGACATTCTGAATCTGTTTTTTTTTTTTTCTTTCCACGTCCAATTCTTGATCTGTCTACTTTCTTAGTTCTATCTTTTTTCTTTATATTTTAAATTAACCTTTTGTCCAATAGCATCATTACCCTCTTCCTTCTCTTCTTCTTGGTTTTATAAAGGGAATACTTGGATTTGTCACACTCAAATAATGTTTAAATCTGGAGACATTTTCTGCTTCTTCATAAAATTCCATCCAATCCATCAACCGGAATTACTCAACTTTTAATATTGTCTCGGCACAGGATCCTTGACCAGTCCTTTTAATCAACAAAGAAGCTACATTAATGGAGATCCCATCGGTCCGGTGGCTATCCGAACTGGTAAGGCTATCTTGTTAGCATCGCATTTAGTATTATTGTTCAGTTGTGTGCTTTTCGTTTTCTTAATTAATTAACAAAATTTCTTCTCTGGTGCCTGGCGGAATCTACAGGGAATGGAGGACCCTGCCTTCATTCATGAATGTCAGATGGACTCTTTTGATGGATTCAGCACACAACAAATAGCAGCTACGCTTGGGCAAGATTTCCAGCACTCTTTCTCTTCTGAGAGTTTTTCCTCTTACCCGACTTTCAAAACACGAAGCAACACCGCCACACCGACCACCGCCTTCAGCGGTTCTTCCATGGATGCATCTCACACCGGCGTCGAAAGACCTGCAAAGCAGATCAAGACAAACAGTTGGAATTCTTGCACCACCGAAAACATATCATCCACGCCCGAAGCTTCGTCTTCTCCCAACATTCTTTCTTTCGGCAACCCCAACTTGCCCATCAATCAAGCTCAGCAGTTGTATGGTAATCTAATGGGTAATATGGACGAGGCGGTCTCATCTGCAAACATGATCTTCCCATCCTACGTGACCCAAAATTATGTGTTTAAACCCGGTCATGGGACTAAGAGGATGAATTCGGCAACGACGAAACCTCCCTCACACACTCAAGATCACATAATAGCAGAAAGGAAGAGGAGAGAAAAGCTCAGTCAGCGCTTCATAGCTCTCTCGGCCATTGTTCCAGGCTTAAAGAAGGTACTCGCATAATCGCATTCGTTCATTCATTGCCGTCTGGAATTCCTCTTCTTAAGTCTAAAAAATTGGCTATTTCTGCTTTAAGATGATATAATTCGTGGTTGTTACAGATGGACAAGGCTTCTGTTCTTGGAGACGCTATCAAGTATTTGAAGCAACTGCAAGAGCGAGTGAAGATATTAGAGGAACAGACGGTCAAGAAAAGAGTGGAATCTGTGGTGTTAGTCAAGAGATCTCAGATCTCGGCCGATGATGACAATTCTTCCTCCGATGAGAATAACTTGGGTGGGGGTCGCTCCGATGATGAGGCGGCACTCCCGGAAATAGAAGCGAGAGTGTCGGACAAGGACGTGCTCATAAGAGTTCACAGTGAGAAACAGAAAGGAGTTGTTGCGAAGGCACTGGCCGAGATAGAGAAACTCCACCTGACTGTTGTCAACAGCAGTGTCATCCCCTTTGGGAAATCAGCTCTCAATATCACCATAGTTGCTGTGGTAAGTCCATCCATCACCGTCGCCGAATCAATTAATTTATTAGTGTTGCTTTTAATCTTTTATCTTGAAAATTCTGCTTTTCGAAGCCGTAATTTGAATTCTCATTCTTTGTTCAATCTTTAAAAGAAGATAACCGTTTCTGATTGTTGTAGATGGAACCCGAGTTCTCCATGAAAGTGAAGGATCTTGTGAGGCATCTCAATTCAGCTTTTAGACAATTTATGTAAGAAGAATAATACGAATAAGAAAGAAGAAAGAAGAAGAAATATGTTATGGAGCCTCAGTTCCAATTGGTTTTAATCAAAGTGTATAGAAGAAGAATATCTTTTTTTGGCTTCTTTGTGGATAGAAGCTTGGAAAGATGAGGAATTAAATGATGGTGGGTGGCTTACTGTCAGTCAGCTTAAGGTCCTCCATTTTTTCTTCAGAAAGAAGTAATCCAGTAAAAGAAATCTGAAGAAATAAAACAAGGCCTAAAATTCTGCTGATGAGTCCCCTTGTTGGCCCTGAGGTTCGTTTTGCAGGAGGGTTTTTTTTGTTCGTCCATTTGCTCTGGTCTCCCTTTTTTTTTTTTTTTGCGCAGTCGACTTGTTGACCGCGTTTATGTTGGGCAGTGAGCACCCCCACCTCACCTGTTATTGTGGTAAACAAAACCTCGGGGCTTATACTGGACAATTCACAGTTCCATTTTTTTAGTCTTTGTTTGACTTTTCAATACACCATCACTGGATCCCCTGGTGGGCCGGGTCTCCACCCGTGTGAAAATGGTCTATCCATAATTTTTTTTTTTTTTTTCCTTGGTTTGGTTAGCACTAGCAGGTAGGAGTGCAGACCTTGATTAAGAAGTTTGGTTTGATTGGGAATTTGGGAGGCTGCTGACTGAAATTTTTTACCCTTCAGGTCATTCAATTGTAATGTTCCTTTTTCTTCTTCTTCTTCTTTTTCTTTCAACATGTATTGACATTATTGTTTGTTTGATTACCAAAAAAAAAAAAAGAAAAAAAACATTGTTGTTTGTTGTGAGTTGTGACGTAAAACTGGTTTTATGTAGTAGACAAATGATATGAAATAATGTAAATGGATCTTTTATTTTTTTTATTTAATAATTTGTTGGACAATTGATAGTTAAAGCTGATGTTGTCCTTATTTTTTATTTGAATGATACTTCTCCTTTCATGGGGTAGGGATCTGCTATCTATCAATCAACCCTGTCCCAACAGACCACCAATGTATTACCAATCTAGGTCCACCCACAAGTTCTTTCCACATTATATCCATACAACACCACCTATTCCCCATAAATGATAAGAGAGATATTTTTAATATACAACTGTCATGTGTTATGAGTAGAGATGTGAGAATAGCATGATATAGTAAATTTAAGCCTGTATTCCTCGATTATATTATTGATACCATGTATTAGTAGCTGATCCAATATAATATATGTATACGTGGACAAATGATATCCTGAAAATCCAAAAGAACTACTACTCTCTTAGAGTCAATAACTTAGGGGGAGGACGGTGCGTCCTTTTCTATTCAATTTTTAAATGTATGTAGTCAATTAATACATTGTATAGATCCATTCTCCATTCAACCATGAACCGTGTAGAGGAGAATATAACCAGTCACAAACAAAATGGGGGGGATTCACTTCCTTACTATAATTATTGGCCACCGAGGAGCATCGTTCATCTTCCTATAAACAAGGAAAATTAGATGCTGCTGGAGTGCTGGGCTGGGCCCCGAGACTCCGAGAGCGGTTGATTTGAGGTGGCGGTGAGCTAGGGCCTTGGGAGCTGTGCCCACTCAAGTACACGTTCGCCATATAGGTGGACACGTGTGAACTTTTTCCAACCCAGGTTCGGATAAAAAAGCTTGAACAGTGTATAGCAGTGTAGGTGGTCCTGGCATACGAAGAGATAATGAAAATAGGAAAGGGCAAGGGCAACATCGGTGGGGTGGTTGTTGTCTAATTCTAGGTCAACAAACGTAGGGCCTACTTGTTACTGTCACCACCTCTATCTCCGGATACTGTGGAGTTTGGACATGGTAAGCTTCAGCCACGTAGACATAGTACATTACATTATGAATTAATATACTTGTTTACTTTATTTGAGAAATTAAATTATTGGTGAAAGTAAGTCCAAAGACAATAGCAGCAGTTTGTGCTGCCACCTTTTCTGGCTTTTGAAACGGAAAAATACATATACGGGTTTAAATACGATGGATCTTGAAACGATGAAGCCGAGGTGGTGGCCCAATCAGAATCAGGGTCCGCTTCTGGTTGCCTATATCAAAATGTCCAAATGAAACTGGAAAACTATACTAAGACTGGCTGAGCCTGACAAAATGCATGGATATAATAGAAGCAGCAAGGGTGGTCCAGAAGTTTCCGGTCAAAGGCAGGCCGGATTGAATTTATCATCTGGTGCTATATCTCAACACATCACAAAATGAAATTTTCCTGTGAATGATAGCAATGCATAATGGCTTTTGTTTTGGCCTTACAGGGGGATTTTGATTGATTGATGATATTAAAATGATTAGGGTGTTTTGGGAGCTAATTTCGACCCTACACATAGCTTCCTAATAAGTGGGTGTTGACCCTTGATATCGAGTATATCACAATCTCAGATAAGAAATTGAATTATCAAAACACCTGGCCACTCTCATTTGATCAGGCCCTATTTTATTTTGTATATGTTGCATCTCAGCTGACAGTTAGATGAAAGGTCAGCTGCCAACTCCAGGAAACACATTTATGTTGGTGGAAGGATCGTCACAACTCTCAATAGTTGGAAGCCTACTAAATAATTTTCAATAATTAAGCTTATATATGTATTATGTGATTACTTTAAGAGGAATTATTAATTACTAATTAAGCTCAGAGACAGGCTTAATTAATCCCCTAGTCCCCACTTAAAAGATTATAATCTTGCAGGGCCTTCTCTTTCCCATTCCAACTACTATTAAAAACTCTGGTTTAGAATGATTAGTGACTTTAAAATTCTTTGATTTCTATATTTTAAATCAACCACCAAACGTAACATTTGTTCTTGCATCACTTTCCCATACAAACGATAAGGTTTAGCCCCTGTTTGGTATTACTTATTTTAAACACTTATTCAAATGAATACTTAAAAGAATTCTTTCTTTAACGCAGATGGTGGAATATCTTTTTTCTCTTGTTTGCATTCAGACTTGATGCCCAATCTTGTAGGTAGGATTTGTACAGCGAAAAATTCTAAGATGGCTTCAATTGATTAATCCTCTTCACGTGATTTCTTAGCTTGCCAAGCTTTAATCGTTGGTCCTGATTTACCAAGTTTCATTACACCAAATCTTTTTTTCAGTACAGGAATAAAAATGTTTCAGGAGGTAATACTTACATGACAAGAATATTTTGCAATTACATGGACAGCCCTATTACCTGTACCAGGGATAAAGGACATTAAAACAGATTAAATTCCTGTCGAGACGTTCTTGGCAACTTGTGAATTATATATGTGTGTGTATATATGGAGAGATTGATGTGATCTTGATGATGATCCTCACCCAGTCAACTCAGCTGGAACCAAGCATTATTTGTGCAAATAAAGCTTTATTTTATTTGTTAGTTCCAAATTATAAGGAATGGTCATCTCGGTTTTCTATCTAGAAGATGAGGTATATCTATAATTCCATTAGAATAATTATAATATATGATAAGGTGGTGTTTGGTAATATTCCAACTTCCGGTTACATTTCTGATGTTCGGGAACAGAAGAACCAACTATCTTTGGTTTCCCAGAATTCAAAATTACCATACATGTATATCGTAGAATCTGAAATTACAGCTTCTCAAAGCAATATTTTAAAGAATTTTGCCTTTTAATGAGGCTTCTCCTTTTTCAATCCCTTCTCCCTTTCCTTCTTCCTCCTTAACTCTCTCTCTCTCTCTTTCTCTCTCTCTCTCTTTCTCTCTCTCTCCCCCAATCACCTAAACCATCTCCCCTCCTAAAATTTCTTTTACCTCCCTCACCTAAAACACCTCCTACTCTACCTCACATGTCTAACAAACCATTTAATTCTAATGTCTCTTTCCCTCCCCCTATCTCTCTATCTATTCCTACCCCCATCTCTCTCCACCTTCCATATACATATATTTAAGTTTTCATCAATGTATTAAAATATTAATGTTTAAGTTAAAAACATCTAAAACAAGAAAAAAAATAAATGATGCAATAATACAAATAATAAAAGTAAAGTAATAAAATTAAATAATTAAGTAAAATTAAAATTACCTATCTCCATGGGATGTTTTGGGATGCACATATTACTATTTATTTTGACATTCAAATGGTATTGTGTTCATCAAGTAGAGACTACAACAAGAACATGGGTCAAGAAGATGACTCAAAGGCTGAGTTTGGAAAGAGTACAAATATAAATATGTATAGTGCAAATACATATAAAATACAAGGTTTTGCACTCTACATATTTGTATTTGTACTCCTTACAAACTGAGCCTAATGGATTGGATCATTACATAACCAAAAAAGTGATTGCCCCAATTTATTTAGTTATTGATTAGAACAAATCTTGATTAATCTGGTTTGTTCTACTAAATTTTCTATATAAATTTTTAGAAAATATATCTTGAAAATAAATATTATAAACACTAGTAATTAACATTTTTTGTTAAAATATTAACTTAACTATTAATTAATCTTTTTATAAAACATTTTTGCTATATTTTTAGAAAATTTCTCTTAAAATCCACTATTTTTTATAAATTATCTTAAAATATCACTACTATTTTTTTAAAAATATTTTCTGTTAACATGAATTGTCTCTTTTGTCTCATAGCTCGATTGCTATGAACTTAATTTTGTGAAGCATTTAGTGTTAGATCGAATGGATTAGGTTGTTTTCCTAGCTTTATTAGTTTCCCAAGAGAAGAAGAAGTAGAAGATGAAACGAACCATGGGCCAAAAAATCTCAATGCATCAAGAAGATGAAGTTCATGGGTTGGGTTATTTGAATATTCAAAAATCATCCAATCAGATTGATGTACATATACATTTATTGTAAATGAATGAAAGTACATTATTGTTTCATGCAAGGTTCAAAATATCGATATGCCTAATACGCCGATAGGGGCGTATCGGGCATTTCGATACTTGTTTTTTTACTTATATATATATATATATATATATATATATATATATATTCAAAACTGGTTTAGGGGAGTTAGTCTAGGACCCCTCCATCCCCTGAACCGGTCAGACCCCCGATACACCCACTGTAGAGGTGTATCGGAAGGGTTTTGGAATGATACGTATCGGTATGGGTTGATACGTAATCATACTTTAAACCTTGGTTTCATGTAGACATTGGTATATTTTTGTGTAATTACCCCATTAAACTAGACATTTATAAAACTTGTGTTAGTTTAGAATGTTCTCAGCCGTTGGATAGACCTAAGGAGTTTATCCTGTCAAGGCTGACATTGATGTGCTGCCAAAAAAGTTGGGGTAGCTTGTTTCAATTGTTAGGGTTGGACTTGAATCATATGCAGTGTGTGTTTGAATTAAACACTGAATTGAGACCATTTTCTAGTTATGCCATGCACCTTGGAGATTGATGGGCAAAACTGAAAAATTACATATAACCCCAAGACTTGATTATGGTACTACACTAGGTGTTGGATTGGGCTTTCTTTGATATGCCAATCAGTGAGAATAATCAAGGGTCAAAACCTAGGTACACCTTGTAGCCAGGGGAGAGGTCATTCCCTATCGGGCAGTGTTTGATCATTATGGGCCAAGATGTTAAGTGTAAGAGACCATTAAGGGCTGATTATCTAATGGGCTTCATCTTACTTAAGTCCATTATCCTTGGGTATTCATAGGATAGTTGAATTCAATGATCATTTAAGTATAAATGTTGGGACCATATTGAGCTCATAGTGATGTGCTCAGGGGTTCATTTCGTTTATCAGTGGATTCAGCCAAACCTTTTCATAGAGGCTGGGCCAAACCCATGTGGACTTATGTG